TATATCTGTCCCTAAATCGAGTTGGAATGTGTTCGAGGGGCCCTTAGGAGGCTTTCCATGAAGTTTGGAGCAATTTCATTTTTGGACCAAAATTGACAAAAATTGCAAGGGGTTAGCCTTACATTTTTAATGAAATTTGGCCAAAATATGAATTTCTTTGTATTGATATATCTGTCTCTAACTCGAGTTGGAATGTGTTCGAGGGGCCTTTAGGAGTCTTTCCATGGACTTTGGAGCAATTTCATTTTTTGACCAATATTGACAAAAATTGCAAGGGGTTAGCCTTACATTTTTAATGAATTTTGACCAAAATATGAATTTCTTTGTATTGATATATCCGTCTCAAACTCGAATTCGAATGTGTTCGAGGGGCCTTTAGGAGTCTTTCCATGAAGTTTGGAGCAATTTCATTTTTGGACCAAAATTGACAAAAATTGCAAGGGGTTAGCCTTACATTTTTAATGAAATTTGGCCAAAATATGAATTTCTTTGTATTGATATATCTGTCTCTAACTCGAGTTGGAATGTGTTCGAGGGGCCCTAAGGAGTCTTTCCATGAAGTTTGGAGCAATTTCATTTTTTGACCAAAATTGACAAAAATTGCAAGGGGTTAGCCTTACATTTTTAATGAAATTTGGCCAAAATATGAATTTCTTTGTATAAATATATATGTCCCTAAATCGAGTTGGAATGTGTTCGAAGGGCCCTTAGGAGTCTTTCCAGGAAGTTTGGAGCAATTTAATTTTTTGACCAAAATTGACAAAAATTGCAAGGGGTTAGCCTTACATTTTTAATGAAATTTGGCGAAAATATGAATTTCTTTAAATTGATATATCTGTCCCTAAATCGACTTGGAATGTGTTCGAGGGGCCTTTAGGAGTCTTTCCATGGAGTTCGGAGCAATTTCATTTTTTGACCAAATTGACAAAAATTGCAAAGGGTTAGCCTTACATTTTTAATGAAATTTGGCCAAAATATGAATTTCTTGGTATTGATATATCTGTCCCTAAATCGACTTGGAATGTGTTCGAGGGGCCTTTAGAAGTCTTTCCATGGAGTTTGGAGCAATTTCATTTTTTGACCAAAATTGACAAAAATTGCAAGGGGTTAGCCTTACATTTTTAATGAAATTTGGCCAAAATATGAATTTCTTTTAATTGACGTATCAGTCCCTAAATCGTGTTGGAATGTGTTCGTGGGGCCTTTAAGAGTCTTTCCAGGAAGTTTGGAGCAATTTCATTTTTTGACCAAAATTGACAAAAATTGCAAGGGGTTAGCCTTACATTTTTAGTGAATTTTGACCAAAATATGAATTTATTTGTATTGATATATCCGTTTCAAACTGGAATTCGAATGTGTTCGAGGGGCCTTTAGGAGTCTTTCCATGAAGTTTGGAGCAATTTCATTTTTTGACCAAAATTGACAAAAATTGCAAGGGGTTAGCCTTACATTTTTAATGAAATTTGACCAAAATATGAATTTCTTTGTATTGATATATCTGTCCCTAAATCGAGTTGGAATGTGTTCGAGGGGCCCTAAGGAGTCTTTCAAGGAAGTTTGGAGCAATTTCATTTTTTGACCAAAATTGACAAAAATTGCAAGGGGTTAGCCTTACATTTTTAATGAAATTTGGCCAAAATATGAATTTCTTTGTATAAATATATATGTCCCTAAATCGAGTTGGAATGTGTTCGAGGGGCCCTTAGGAGTCTTTCCAGGAAGTTTGGAGCAATTTAATTTTTTGACCAAAATTGACAAAAATTGCAAGGGGTTAGCCTTAAATTTTTAATGAAATTTGGCGAAAATATGAATTTCTTTAAATTGATATATCTGTCCCTAAATCGAGTTGGAATGTGTTCGAGGGGCCTTTAGGAGTCTTTCCAGGAAGTTTGGAGCAATTTCATTTTTTGACCAAAATTGACAAAAATTGCAAGGGGTTAGCCTTACATTTTTAATGAAATTTGGCGAAAATATGAATTTCTTTAAATTGATATATCTGTCCCTAAATCGAGTTGGAATGTGTTCGAGGGGCCTTTAGGAATCTTTCCATGGAGTTTGGAGCAATTTAATTTTTTGACCAAATTGACAAAAATTGCAAGGGGTTAGCCTTAAATTTTTAATGAAATTTGGCCAAAATATGAATTTCTTTGTATTGATATATCTGTCCCTAAATCGAGTTGGAATGTGTTCGAGGGGCCTTTAGGAGTCTTTCCATGGAGTTTGGAGCAATGTCATTTTTTGACCAAAATTGACAAAAATTGCAAGGGGTTAGCCTTACATTTTTAATGAAATTTGGCCAAAATATGAATTTCTTTTAATTGACGTATCAGTCCCTTAATCGAGTTGGAATGTGTTCGAGGGGCCTTTAGGAGTCTTTCCAGGAAGTTTGGAGCAATTTCATTTTTTGACCAAAATTGACAAAAATTGCAAGGGGTTAGCCTTACATTTTTAATGAAATTTGGCCAAAATATGAATTTCTTTGTATTGATATATTTGCCCTAAATCGAGTTGAAATGTGTTCGAGGGGCCTTTAGGAGTCTTTCCATGGAGTTTGGAGCAATTTCATTTTTGGACCAAAATTGACAAAAATTGCAAGGGGTTAGCCTTACATTTTTAATGAAATTTGGCCAAAATATGAATTTCTTTGTATTGATATATCTGTCTGAAACTCGAGTTGGAATGTGTTCGAGGGGCCTTTAGGAGTCTTTCCATGGAGTTTGGAGCAATTTCATTTTTTGACCAAAATTGATTAAAATTGCAAGGAGTTAGCCTTACATTTTTAATGAAATTTGGCCAAAATATGAATTTCTTTGTATTGATATATCTGTCCCTAAATCGAGTTGGAATGTGTTCGAGGGGCCTTTAGGAGTCTTTCCATGGAGTTTGGAGCAATTTCATTTTTTGACCAAAATTGACAAAAATTGCAAGTGGTTAGCCTTACATTTTTAATGAAATTTGACCAAAATATGAATTTCTTTAAATTGATATATCTGTCCCTAAATCGAGTTGGAATGTGTTCGAGGGGCCTTTAGGAATCTTTCCATGGAGTTTGGAGCAATTTAATTTTTTGACCAAATTGACAAAAATTGCAAGGGGTTAGCCTTAAATTTTTAATGAAATTTGGCCAAAATATGAATTTCTTTGTATTGATATATCTGTCCCTAAATCGAGTTGGAATGTGTTCGAGGGGCCTTTAGGAGTCTTTCCATGGAGTTTGGAGCAATGTCATTTTTTGACCAAAATTGACAAAAATTGCAAGGGGTTAGCCTTACATTTTTAATGAAATTTGGCCAAAATATGAATTTCTTTTAATTGACGTATCAGTCCCTTAATCGAGTTGGAATGTGTTCGAGGGGCCTTTAGGAGTCTTTCCAGGAAGTTTGGAGCAATTTCATTTTTTGACCAAAATTGACAAAAATTGCAAGGGGTTAGCCTTACATTTTTAATGAAATTTGGCCAAAATATGAATTTCTTTGTATTGATATATTTGCCCTAAATCGAGTTGAAATGTGTTCGAGGGGCCTTGAGGAGTCTTTCCATGGAGTTTGGAGCAATTTCATTTTTGACCAAAATTGACAAAAATTGCAAGGGGTTAGCCTTACATTTTTAATGAAATTTGGCCAAAATATGAATTTCTTTGTATTGATATATCTGTCTGAAACTCGAGTTGGAATGTGTTCGAGGGGCCTTTAGGAGTCTTTCCATGGAGTTTGGAGCAATTTCATTTTTTGACCAAAATTGATTAAAATTGCAAGGAGTTAGCCTTACATTTTTAATGAAATTTGGCCAAAATATGAATTTCTTTGTATTGATATATCTGTCCCTAAATCGAGTTGGAATGTGTTCGAGGGGCCTTTAGGAGTCTTTCCATGGAGTTTGGAGCAATTTCATTTTTTGACCAAAATTGACAAAAATTGCAAGTGGTTAGCCTTACATTTTTAATGAAATTTGGCCAAAATATGAATTTCTTTGTATTGATATATCTGTCTGAAACTCGAGTTGGAATGTGTTCGAGGGGCCTTTAGAATTCTTTCCAGGAAGTTTGGAGCAATTTCATTTTTTGACCAAAATTGACCTAAATTGCAAGGGGTTAGCCTTACATTTTTAATGAAATTTGGCGAAAATATGAATTTCTTTTAATTGACATATCAGTCCCTAAATCGAGTTGGAATGTGTTCGAGGGGCCTTTAGGAGTCTTTCCATGGAGTTTGGAGCAATTTCATTTTTGGACCAAAATTGACAAAAATTGCAAGGGTTTAGCCTTACATTTTTAATGAAATTTGGCGAAAATAAGAATTTTTTTTAATTGATATATTAGTATCTAAATCGAGTTGGAATGTAAAATTGGTGAAGTTGGCCGGGAAAACCTATATTAGCCAAATAGTGTGATAATAGCATCAATAAGATTGTTAATTAATTCAAGATGGCGGCCGCAAATATGACCTTAAAGGCACCCCAAAAATTAAGACCCTAAAAGGCATCCAAAAACATTCGTGAAAGTTAGTTCTGGGGGGTGCACGGTGCCGGAAGTCCCCCTTACATCGAACTCGTGGATCCGGGAACGCGTTAGTAATTCGTGGGAACGAGTTGGTGATTCGTGGGAACCAATAAAAAAATCGTGCGAACGAAATAGCAATTCGTTGGAACGAATTAGCAATTCGTGGGAGCGAATTAACAATTCGTGGGAATGAATTAGCAATTCGTTTGAACGAATTAGCAATTCGTGGGAACGAATTAGCAATTCGTGGGAACGAATTAGCATTCGTGCGAACGAATCAGCAATTCGTGGGAACGAATTAGCAATTCCGTGGGAACGAATTAGCAATTCGTGGGCACGAATTAGCAATTCGTGCGAACGCATTAGCAATTCGTGCAAACGAATTAGCAATTCGTGCGAACGAATTAGAAAATTCCCCCAAAAGTTTCCACCCTGTCCCTTCCCGGGCTTCATAAAATAGGTCTCAGTTTTTAAGTTGGTCGTGTTAACTTTTAATATACAGGTCCATTCAGTAGTTTCTTCGTGAAGAAGCTTGAATGTCGGAGAGCCATCATGCTGGGAGGAGTCATGATGGCGATCGGGACCGGTATAGCATCCTTCACCAACAACTCAGTCTACCTTTTCCTGTGTCTTGGACTTGTGGGTATGTAATCCCTCCGAAAATAACATTTCGATAAAAAAAAAAGAAACGCTTGATATAGACTTTTTATGATAAAAGTTGTTTACTTTTTGTGTCTTGTAACCAAAAGTCAAATCCCCTGATTTTCAAACTTGTTTTGAGATTATTTGCCAGTGTTAGTTAATACTAAAATTCCTAGTTATCGATGCATGGAGAGAGGTGAACAAAAGATTTGTCAGGTAAATTGTCGAGTCAATATGGCTTGAATTAACCGGATAACTCGTGCTGCAAAGACTCGGGTACGCTCCTGACTTGTGACTATTATTATTCTGGCCATTAAGGTAAAAGACAGCAGATATCATAGGAGACCAAATTTCCTAATGGCACCGTCTCGACTCTTTGGCTTGCAGGTCTGGGTGGTACATTAATTCAAGTAGGGTTGGTCTTTATGGTGGGTCAGTATTACAACACACACCATGCCATTGCTAACGGTATTGCCTTCAGTGGGATAGGAGCTGGCGTCTTTGCCTTCTCGCCACTTGTGCAATACCTTATCAACACCTATGGCTGGCGAGGAAGTTTCGTCATAGAGAGCGCTATTGTGATGAACGTGGTCGTCATGGGGGCTTTGATGCGTCCAGCATCAAGATACAAAACTCGACGTTCAGGATCGGTACCGAAAAGGAAGGTTGAAACTAATGAACAGGAAAGGAATTGCAGTCATACCGGTGACAACGACTGGTGCAATGAACAAGAGGAATCAAGTGATTCTGGTGAAATTGAAATCAATACATCGCTCTGCCGTAGGTGCCGTAGGTTTGGACTCTGCGAACTGCTTGGGAACACACCCTGGCTACTTCTGCTGTACCTATCCTGCTTCTTACTGGAAGTCGGATGCTCGTCGGTCATTTTCCACATCACCAACTTCGGCCAGGCGTCGGGTCTGGATCCCACGCAGGCTTCGAGTCTGCTGTCTTTCTTCGGTATCGGGGGCGTGATAGGGCGAGTCACGTACGGCCTGGTCCTTAAGATCAGATGCATCAGGCCTTACTGGATGTTCGAAGCCTGCCTTCTCCTTTCAGCTCTCTCGGTCACTTTCATTACTGTGGTGGATTCTTACGTCGAAAAGGTCATCTTCATCACCTCTTTTGGGGTAACGAGCGGTGCCCTGTTTCCTCTTGTGCCTGTGATACTCCGTCAGTCTGTTGATATTGACCAACTTCCTCTTGCCTTCGGGCTGTCCCTGTTCTGCAACGGTGTTGGTACCATCGCAGGAGGCTATCTAATCGGTAAGTACATTGAGGTATCTCTTATGCCTGATTTGCTACCAAAATACATCTTGGAGGTTTTGGTAATCACGTTGTTCGCTGGGTTCGATATACGGTCTGTGCAGCAGTTGAGAGTTATGACGAATTCGGCGTAACAGCAAAAAAAGTGGTGCGATAAACAAAAAAAATAATTTTTGCATATTTTTTATTATTATTAATTTGGTTGCTTTGTCTGTGTTTTCAGGTTTTGTACGAGACGTAACGGGTGATTATACCACTGCCTTTTATCTGATCGGGATATTCTTCATCGTGTCGGCTGCCGTCTCTCTACCGCAACCTGTGGTGTCATGGTACCGAAGAAGACGGGTGTGTCGCTCAGTTCAGAGTGCCGAGTAACTGAATCGACTCTCTGAAATGGCATCACAGAAAGAAAACACGACTGGGCTTTTCTATGTCGAGCGGGGCGCGAATCTTTTTCCCCTAACAACATCCGTTTCCCATCTTCTGATTGGTCAATTATGTGCAATCTAATGCCTTGTTCTCCACAACACAAAACAAAGAAAGGCTTTGCGTCTTGTGAGAAATGTTTCTTCCTCACTTTAGTGTCTTCTGGTGAGTCAACTGCAGTATTTCCATGGCATTTCACTGATTACGGATTGCCATGGCATTTCACTGATCATGCAGGTACACACACAAGAGTATAATGAATGTGCTCCGTCAAGATGAAATACTCATGTTAAGAAATTAAAGAGTATCTGCTTGCACACTTTTCTCTTTTTTTTGGGGGGGGGGGGGACACCCTAGGCCAATATAGAGTGAAATCACTCCAATTTTACATTGAATTTTGAAATAGTTTGAAAAAGAATCAATAGGCCTACAGTGGAAACTCGAGTAATCTCATCTGGAACGTCTGATCCCTATAGTTATATACACCCCAAGCAGGTATAGCCCAAGTCGGTGGGAGTTAATTATCATTCCTTTGGAAACAATTGAAAATTCATGGTGCAATTATTATATTTGTATATATTTTTTCTCTGTAAATCATATTCTGGGAGTTAACTATCATTGCTTTGGAAACAATTGAAAATTCATGGTGCAATTATTATATTTGTATATATTTTTTCTCTGTAAATCATATTCTGGGAGTTAACTGTCATTCCTTTGGAAACAATTGAAAATTCATGGTGCAATTATTATATTTGTGTATATTTTTTTCTCTGTAAATCATATTCTGGGTACTTTGTGATGAGTTGGTTAAAATTCAAGGGTGTTTGATAGGCTAGTTGGAATGGCAAACATTTTAGTAAGAAGTGCCTTTATTTAATCTTAATTTGCGGTTATTTGGAGACACAAAAAAATATACTCCTTGGCTCTCGAAAGCTGCAGGGTTGTTTGTCGGTGTCACTGTTGCTGTTTGTCTGTTAACCGTGAACTCTACCCCTCCCCCCCCCCAAAAAAAAAACCCCGGCCGGGATGTGTTCATCGATGGATGATATAGTTGATACAGGTCGACGTGGTGTACAGAATCTCGTACGGAAACGCAAAGAATTGTGGTCGAGCACAAACGGAAGTCAAACAAGAAAACACGAGACAATTCTTCATTGTTTTCATCTTTTTATTCCACGTATAATGAATACACAGCATACGGCTATAATGTACGGTAGAGCAAAATGCACGTAGACACCGTGCACGCGTCCACATTGTAAAGTCGCAGTCTTTTTTTACATTTTGGAATGTAGTAGCTTGTAATTTTAATTCAGCAAAAGGAGAAAACACTGGAAATATAACTCGACGACCAGACAGAACACTTGCACCAATAGTGTTAAAATGTAGAGCGACAATAGGTAGAGGGGAAATAGACTCTGCGCTTCCATAAAATGACCTTCACTGACCAGGGCCGAATTTCAATGAACTGGTAAGCAGAAAAACGCTGCTTAGCACATTTATGGCCTTAGTAAAATCCGCGGGGAACCAGTTACAAGCAGTACAAATCGCATGATATTCTGTTTGGTAACCAGTAACTATTACATTGTATAAGCAAATGTGTTCTGTGCTTAGTAACGTTTGTGCTTACAAGTTCCACGAAATCGGCCTGGGATGTTTTCGACAACCTCTCCTCCTGGAGATATAATGAGATAGACAAGCGTTATTTCAGGAGACTGTACTTGTATTCCCGTATAGTAGTGCGGCATAGGGACAGAATTGTGCACTTTGTGACTAAAGCATGAAACTTCGCATGTTGGTTCTTCATGCCATGACAAAATTTTTTGAGATATGGAGGCATTTCACATCTGACCCCTGGTGACCTTTGTGGGGTCAATGACCTTTGAAAACTGTATTTATACCTACTGTTCTTGAAAATATCACTTTGCTTTGACCTAAGTCTAGTCTTCATACAATGTAATAACAACCAAAATAATGCAAAAAAAAAATCACAATTGACCTTTGATGACCTTCCAGAGGTCAATGACCTTTGTGTTGACTGCACTAACTCTATCTATAGTTATTCATACGATATACCCTTTAAACCCCAATGTTTTTTCAAGCCCAAAGTCATAATGTTAAGTGGCTCATGCTATGAAAAGAATTTCATATTTATCATGTTTAATCTTCCAAATGGCATTTTTCATGACCGAAGTCTAATCAGAGCAAAAGGAGTGCATTTTAATAATTATTCTACAACATGTCATGAAGTCAGACCCCAAAGAAATTTTTTGCATGACCTCCGATCTGAATTTTCCTATTGATAAGGGCAGACGCTAACATGAAAGAATATAAGCGACACATCGGACAAGCATCACTCTCTTACAGTGATTCAGATATGAATTTTTCCACATTTGATCATTATTTTAATTGTATGAAGACCTATGACATAGACTTGGGTCATCGGAAAGTGAACTTTTAAAGAACAAAAGTTATGAGAAGTGTATGCAAAGTTCATTGACCTCTAAAGGTCACCAGAGGTCAAATATGAAATGTCTCCATATCTGAAAAATTATGCCATGGCATGAAGAACCAACATGTGATGTTTCATGCTTTTATCACAATTTGCACAATACTTATGCATTATTGTGGCTATGCCGCACCACTAGTAATAAATAAGCAGTCCATGACATTTTGAGTATTAAGTTCTTGGCATCGATTGTCATATTGGTACTAAAAGGGCTTAACTGGCAAAAGTAAGACTCATAAGCGTCGTTTCTACGAAAGTTGCTGAGCTACAACGCAAGAATCGATTCATCTAGAGAAAGCTTGCCAGTCAAGCCTATCGAACCAATTATAAAGAGGAATACCAAGTGATCATACCAACAAGGTGACCTCGAATTAAGGTCAAGCAACAGCTAAGGGATGGTGTACACAAACACGGACAAAAGCAGAAATTTAATGAAGGTAAAAAAAATTCTCCCAGACAAGAAATGACGAAGATACATTTTATACAACAGTTCACCGAACAATACTAAAACATGCACGTGATACTTCGTTTTCCTTTTATAACTTTCGAGGCTTATCTTCCTTTAAAAAAAGGGGATAAAACTAATCCGGCACAATAACTGCGCCTTCATCGGCGATCCCAAGCCAAGGCCAATACACGAACCAAGTTTTGTCGCTACACTAAAACAAAGAACTCCCCAAATGGAGCAGTTTCTCCGACAAAATTCCAATCAGCTTAACCGTTATTTGACTATTCGAGTTCGTCAACTTATCACTTGAGAAGAAATACTGTTTATTCAGTGTTAGGTTTTTTTTTTTTTAACATTTATACATATATTTTCCCCCTCACTTAATTATTTTCATACAATTTAAATTTGGCATGGTTGTCCATAGTCGACTTACAGAGGCTAGAGTCTATACACAACAATATATTAAACCCGTAGCATGAAAAAAAAGAAGTATTTTCGTACCATTGAATATTCATTAAATTAACAGGCGTTTAGACAAAAAGAAGTACTGTCTATAAATATATTTATTTTAACAGAGAGAAACACAGAAGGTTCAATTTATATTCCTTTAGAAGTCGCGTCTTGCTGGATGAGTGCAGTTCATCACCAAAAAACCCAAAATGATTCTCCATCTTTGAATTATACGAGCCGCTCGATTTTTGATAGACCGATTGGGTAATAGATTCATCAATTAATCGATACTTTGATTAATTTGTCCTTCGGTAGATCAATAAATTACAACCACATGAAACTACGAGGTGTTCAATCTACAGTATTATGTAACGATTACTCAACCGATCGATGACATTAAAAATAAGATAAAACATCAGATAAGAAATTAAGTTTTTTCTCCAAAATTTTTCGTTCTTATATTCACTGAAAAATGAGCAGTACAGAGGTTTTTCAAAGCACAATTTGTAAGGTTTGTGCCCATGCTTGCACAACAAAATGGCTGGGGAAAAAAACAATTGAAGGTTTTGAAATTGCATTGTAGCACTGCTTTCGCAGCTGGTAGAAATTCATGTGAAACATACTGAATACAATTCTGTGCGTAACGCACCGAGGAATCTCTGTCGTGGTGGGCAGCACATGAAAATAAGTAAACATCTCTTCATTAATGATGAAACATTCATTTCAAACTATTCATAATCGAATTATCAGATATATGTACAACTTAGTCATGAGGTCACATAAATATTAGTTATACTGTCCACATGAGATCATCCTTTCTTCGTTCAGGTATCCTCTGCTGAATTTTTCGTTGTCCTTTTCTTGTAACTGTTCTGATAAAGATACTGTTCAAACAGGTATTTTCAGTGTTTGTGAGTTAGCTCAAATCATTTCCACGAACCCAAAGTACTGTTGTATGATCATAAAGAGTGAATTTCGGTTGAAGGCGCATGTCATGATAGAGTCAATAATCTTTTGAATTCCGTTTTTGATTTTGCATGATCATATTTTGCAATCATAGGCAGTTTTTAGAAATCCAGTCTCTGTGCTCAAGTACCCTGTCAATGCTGAAAATCTGAATAGGCACCAGCATTGGAGGACCACTGGGCACCATCTTTAGCGAGTTGGTATCTGCAGGTTTTCAATGGTAACCGGTGCACGTGAACCAGCTAGGTGTCCTTCCAACACTCTTGTTGTAATGTTAAATAGCGCCCTCTTTGTTTATGCACAAAGCTCATACAGAATTTACAAAGGGAATAAAACAAAAATTAAGTAGAATAAACATGATTTTTTTTTTTTTAGAAATTAAGTATGTGTGGTTCTGCTGGATGTTCCATGCGTGGCAGACAGGAGAGTTTTGAATATTATGGTTCAACTGCATGAAAATCATTAGGACACCAGACCTAATGATAACTGATAGCTACAGATGTGTTTTCAATTCCTCACAAATCCATCACAAGCCCATCACAAGCCCATCACAAGACAATCACAAGCCCATCATAAGACAATCACAAGACAATCACTAGTCAACCACAAGTCACCCAGCCTCAAGTCAAGTCAAAGGCTATTCAAATTATCATCCTGTTTGTGACATAACTTATGATTGACTTATGATTGACTTATGATTTACGTATGATTAACTTACGATTGACTTATGATTGACTTATGATTGACTTATGATTACCTTATTATTGACTTATGATTGACTAATGATTGACTTTTGAATGACTTATGATTAACTTATGACTGACTTATGATTGACCTATGATTAACTTATGCTTGACTTATAATTGACTTATGATTGACTTATGACTGACTTATGACTGACTTATGATTGACTTATGATTGACTAATGATTGACTTATGACTGACTAATGATTGACTGAATTATAACTCTGGATAGCTATAGCATTTCCATCAACACAGTACTGTTAAAAATATAAAAACGAAATCGTCCTGAATTTGTATTTTTTCACAATTACGTCCTACCTGACACCAAGAAGAAATAAAAACTTGGAACACAAACGAACATTGTCCTGTCGATTGTAGCAAATAAAAGTCCACACACACGCACACGCACCCTTACAAGATATTTACATGTTCGGTTTCTTAGCAGCATCAAGCTTTATACAGAAATAACATCTACTTAAAAAAAAAACACGAGGAAAAAGCCTACCTAGATATCTGCAAACGATAAATATCTATGTATTTACACAATGATATACCATGTACTAACACGTGTTCTTGCAACACCAATACTTTTTTATGTTTTTGCTTGTAGCTGAAGCAATGTTTACCACTGACCACAAAGTCAGGTTTTTTTTTAAATTTTAGGTCTAGCACACTAAATCAGATAAAAACTCCATTCAAAAAGATGAAAGTACATCTCAAGACAATTTCTATCACAAATTGTTTGACTACCGATAACTAATTCATTGTATTTTTTTGTATTATTATTTTTTTAAAATTTGAGCACAGAACTCTTGTGCACCCTCGACATCACATTTCTCTACAGAATCTCAACTTGACGATCAGACACTCATGTCTAGTTTGCAGCAGCCCACATAGAAACCGTTTCGAGACGACGATTATCCTAACCCTTCCCCGATTTGGCCACAAATCCAAAAACGCAACCCATGAAACAACTCCTGTGACCAAGTCCACACAGTCTGGCTTTACTATTGAGTATCAACACTTCTCTTCTGTTGTTCCTTTTTTCTGTTTGTACACAGGAACTACCAAGGACTTGGGCTCAGGTCCTCGGGATTTTGTTGTCTTAAGAAACCCTTCATCCCTAGTCCTCAGTCATAAAACCCTTACATCTGCGCCGACTATGCATTTCCGTTTCACCTTGGAGGGAGATCTTTCAGGGTGCAATTATGTTAGTTTGAGCCCACTAAGAATTGTACACAAGAACATTTCACGACAACAATGGGTATGTAAATGATCAACAAAAAAATTAAATTGGATTTTGATTTTGTTTTTAGACTTGGTTACTCATGTCGTACTCGTTGCCTGCCCGTGAAGCATCACCGTAGGCTTTCTTGTCCTCTCTAGACGTGTCCAGGTCCTTGGAGCGTAACCACAGAGTGATGATGGACTTCTGTCCGGGTAGGCCAATCACGGCACAGTCCCCGTTGGCTGATATCTGGCAGCAGCTGATTGGGTAGTCTGGGGTGAACGTCGCGATATTTACACCTGAAAGATGAATCACAATACCAACCAAAAAAAGATTTATAAATCAAGAAATTTTGAAAGAAAATTAGAGTTTTAGAGATGAGAGGAAAACCTTAGAGAGAAATTCTGGGGAAATGCACAGAATCAGGTCTTTGTTTTGCTAAATCAAATTAGGTTTTGCCCTTCACCGACGTCGGTGAAGGTCAAAACCTAATTTGATTTATTATTGTCTGGGTCTGGTACCTGGACACAACTACAACACTGCCTTACCTTGCTGAAGGTCCCACATGTGAAGGCTCCTGTCCATCTGCGTTGAATCGTTGCTTAGGCATCGCTTTCCGTCTTCACTCAGGTAGATGCTGTCTACTGAATGGGTGTGACCTTCTAACGTGTACCTGATCACCATGGCAACAAAAAAAAGACACCCAAAGTTGTGAGGGATGGAATCTGTGTGCTACTCATGACCAATTTGGTGGAGCTTAAAAGAGGTTTTTCTCGGGAAAAAGAGCAAAATTCAAAATCTATTCAACACACTTGATTTTTTTCTCTCACAAATTTTTCAATTTGTATTGTTCTACTTAAGCGGAAGAAGATATTTATTTTGTAAATTTGATGTTTTCAAACCTCTGAAAATACATTTCGGGTTGCTTTTGCACCCATGAAGCACAAACAGATATGCCCAGATTATTATCGATCTGCAACTAATTCAAAATCTGGACAGTAAATAGTTCATAACTAAACCTGAGTAGCTTAATTTGTTTGATGTCTCATTAAAAAAACTTAACAACTTTTGTATTCGCTGTCGAAGTTGTGACGTCACTTAGAGGTCAACGACAACTATGGTTACCACGTGCACTGCAGCGGCATAATGTGAACACAAGTGTTTTGATATGGCGGTTGTAAACCCGAGTTTTATAACTGGCTTGAATTTCCCCTGGTGCGCAAAAACAATCACAGGTGTGGTTCTAACTGATGTGGGTGACAATCTTCTGTAAAACACTTCACCCCTTTCAGGCACTAATGTGTGAAACTGTTCTATAAAAATACCATGTAAAATTGCTGTCTGTTATTGTGCGTGTTAAACGTACGTGAAATGTGTCATCGCGGAATTTGTCGTTATGGAATGCGCGTGAACTTTTGTCAAAGATGTGAGTCTGACCTGGGGAAGGAGATGACGTCACACTTTGGCAGAGAATTGTTAAAAACATAACCATTTAAAAACAAATCTATATTGAAAACAGGACGGCGACAGCAACTTTAAAATAGGGCGACTACTTACTTGAGTGATCCCGAGGAGAGGTCCCAGACTAGGAGAGAGCAGTCTTCACAGCCGTTGACCACGCACTGCCCTTCCGATGAGATGGCCACACAGGTCGTATTGGACAGTGGCTTCCATTTCTTGAACTGTTGACCGCTCTGGAGGTCGTAGACGATGATGAAATTACGACTTGGGTCATCCAGCTCCTGGCAAAATTGAAAGAATAATAAGCGACTTGTGAGGAATGAAGATAAAGCTCCATTTTAACTGTGACTGTCCTTGTTTTTTTTTATGTCATCATTTATGAATTTAACGTCATTCCCATCTTATTTCAAATTTTTTTTAAGAAGTGTAACAAACTTGCTTGTAAATGGAACTGTAATTTGGCCCTTATGACTGTGAAAGTTCAGTAATGAACAGAAATAAAAAAAAACACCCAATTACCCCCCCCCAAAAATTCCAATTTTGCACGTACTGTATGATTAACTTTCTCAACTACAAGCTAAAAATTCTGTGCCATTTCTTTAAGCACAGAATCCTCATACCTGTGCACAAACCAAATTTTCTTTCTATCCTTTGAATTAAGCTCACTGATAAACGAAGGTTCTGCACTCACACTGAGGCAATTTCATGCAATTAGGCTTATTTCTCAGCTAAGGGTTAAACTTGAATTGAACCTAATTGATTTGCTTTCAAAGATGTTGCTGCAGAACTGCCGACTGAAGCAGAAGTTAAAAATGAATGCGCTAAATTGCTTCACAGAGGGATGGATGATTGAAAATAAAACAAAAAAAACAGAACCAACCTTGATGACTGAGACAACGTAGTGACCATCGTTGGAGATTGCAGCCATACGAGTGACAAACTCATGCTGGTTGATCCGGAAATCATGGATCAGTTTCCTGGCGGTCAGATCCCAGACGAGTAGAGGACTGGGTTTCTGAGTGTCATCCCCACACACGCACCGGTGACCGTTAGCGCTCACTAGCAGGCTGTTAAGGAACCGGTCTTCACCAACCTTGAAGGTGGATACCACGTCGCCGCTGGTTACATTGATCATGTTGACGTACATGCGATTTCGAGAGAGCGCCACCACGTGTTCAGAGTCGCTCATGCCGTAGTACGGCATCTTCTGGTTCATGATGCCCTTCAGTTTGGTGTCGAATGTACCCATGTCCAGGTTGAAAATGAGAAGTTCCCGATTGCAGAGGACCACCACGCGGTGATTGTCAATAAACTGCACGTCACGAGGGCACGTCACGTTGCGTAATGTCCGAACGCACTTTTGCGTGGTTATGTTCCAGACTTTGACTTCGCCTTCTTCCGAAGCGACCGAGACCATGAAAGTGTTGCTATTGGTCACTCTGTACAACCCTGTTAAGATGGGCTTGAGCGTTGGTTCCGATTCGTCCGGTGACTTGGCCTCCATTCTGCGTAAACAGTCCCGCGATGGGAAAAAATTGCACACTGGGGGTTTGGCGGCATGCTTAAACATCTGTTGCATCTTGGGATAGCTGGAGCCTTTCCTCTCCATGACTCCTCCGCTAAGTCGCTGCCTCAGCTGGGTGAATAATTGCGAGCCGTCCGTGGAGAGGGCGTAGGCTGAGACTTGAAGGAACTCCAGGAACAGTTGCAGGTCAAGGTTGTTTGGGTCCTTTCTCTGAGCCAAAATGGCATCTTCCATCACCCGATAGACATCACAGTGTTCTAACTTGCGCCGCAACCATTCCAAATCCCAAATGTACTTATCTGCGAATTTCTTCTCGCCACTGTTCAGAGCATGGTAGACGAGTTCATGATAGCGCCGCCGATTTGGGTAGCTGCCATAGCTAGCCAGCTGGGGTAGAACATAGCGGTCCATCAGGACCTCTATGCCACCCTCCTTAATGAAGGGTTTCTTCTTACTCTTAGCCCAGCGACCCTGAAAGTAGTCCTGCATATTCTTGTGCAGCTGTATCCTATTCTGAGTGGCAGCCAAGTAACGCTTGCAGACTAGCTCCCGCAAACTGACGTGAGCCCAAGTTCTTAAACACCGGTCGTCCACCACGCGATCTGAGAGAAACGGTGCCAGCTCCTGACAGATGGCAATCCACAGGTATGCTGGTACCCTGCGCAGCACCGGTCTCTTGCTGGAGTAGAGCTCATCCAGTACGGCATCATCGCAAGATAACAAGTCATTCATTTCAGCATCGGAGACACCGTCCCGCGCCACACACAAGTAACCGATCGAGTGACTGACTGCCAGCTTGCCGTACCTCCGTTCTAACCTGTCCAAGATGGCATTGATTTGTGCGCCAGTGTCCTTCTCTAGCTTGGTTGAGCTACTCTCATCATAGCTACGCCAAGTACAAGCAACATGACTAGCTAGCTTGACGTAGAGTGGCGTAGGACACCCTGCTACAGCATCCTTAAGGAGCTTGGCCTGGGTGTCGCATAATGTCCGTCCGTGGGCCTTCAGAAGGCTCTCAAACATTTTGGTGGAGTCCGCTCCAGAAAGTTGTGGTACCTCCACAAAGCTTGCACTGTCCCGCAATAAACTCTGCCAAGAAAGAACAATAAACTGTCATAGTCCATCTTTAACCTGAAAAAGCTTGGGTTACTGCCAGCAATAACATGTTGAAAAAAAAAAAATTTGTACCACGAAAAATGTTTAGTGCAAAGACTTAGTGTACATGATACACTGTTCCGGTACGTCACTTTGTCGTGCGGCAACTTTCCATTTTGTCACTTTGTTTTGTTTTTGTCCCAACTTTGGATTGGCATCCAAGCTAATTTGCTAATTAATATTCAGATCACACGTTTGGTCAGTCCATATTAAAATGCTAATATTAAAAAAAATTCTAAATCGGGTTGAACAAATATGAACAATTATTTCAAAACTTTGACCATTATTACAATACCAATATTTACCTTGAGATGCGTGAATCCTTCATAGTCCGTTCCTCGCATTGTAAGTATCATCTTGACGTTGCTAGGCAACGTGTCCGGGATCCAGTTGAATGCAGCAGTGTTATCACCTGTGGAGGTGAACTGATCAATGCCGTCCAGAACCACCACTAGAGGGCGGTCTTCCGTCACGCGTTTCAGGAGCGTTGGTAGGTCTTTGCTTAATCGGTTCGCTCCCTGTTGGTTCAAGAATCCAGACGGCATTTGAAATTTGTGTATCCGGTTTTGTCTTGAATTATAAAACAGGGTGTCCATGTTGTGTCCATACACGACCCGACTGAATGAGAATCATGTCCAAAGTACTGATTTACCAGAGGGTGCAATTCAAAAATACGAAACGGCGAATTTTGAACAGAAAGCGATAGCAACAGAATCCACTTACACGACTAAAACAATAGGTTGATGGTTTCCTCTGTTTGATCAAAATGTATCGTATCTACTGAGCTTAAATTTCATTGGGTTTGTTGTAAATGCACCCTCCTCAAGATTTTGAGCAGTTTTGTTGCTTCAAATGTAAAAATGCACAAAACAAAATGATCCGAAGTTATAAAATGATTTTCACTGAAGATGGGCGGGGGAGGGGGTAACTTTACTTGTACACAGTCTATACAAGAGTTTCTGAAAAAATCTTTCAAATACTTACCTTGGATGCGATGGATATATGCTCTCCATATAAGTAAGCAATCTGCTCACAAGCGCTCCTCAGGAGCTGATTGGGTGTTGAGGATTCCGGTGTGGCGCCAACGAATCGCACCACGCAGGCGCTGAGCGGCAGGACCTGGCTGCACAGCTTGACAGCCATGGCCGCCAGCGCCGTCTTGCCTGACCCCGCCCCGCCATGGAGGATCAGGGGCGATTGGGAGTCTCCACCGAGGTAGTCCCGGACCCGATTCAGGAGGTCTGTCTGGCCGTGGAATGTTTCTGAGTGCCTCTGTGCAAGCAACGTGTGGTGCTGTAACTCTTGATATAGCCTCTGATGCGTTTCTGGACAAGAGAAGATAAGAGAGAAACGGGAAACAATAAAATTATGATTAGGTCATGTCCAAACATCTAGTCTAGAGCTATTGATTAATCCTTGTCCGAATGTACCGAAGTGGCTGCAGCCGCTACCATAGACACGTGTGTAATGTCAAGCCATAGCCAAGTCATTTGGACACGGGTTAAGTCCCGCCCATGATGCTTTCACCTGTGATTTTGACCCTTACTCAAAACAGACCTTGAACCCGACCTCATATATCTGAAGGTGGAATTGGACACAAAAAACTGCTCAGACAAAATGAGTTAGCACAGTTAACTGTTACTTGTCCAATGCATGCCACTAAATAGAATGCAATTTGTTCAGACAAACATGGCAAGCGATCATCAACTTTCTGATAATTTCAGCTTCCGTAAACGACATGGAACACCTCCACAGCTCCAAAAGTGAATTTGTTTTTAAGTACCATGATACTTAAAAATGTACCTTTCATTGGCCAAGTTGTTAACCAAGAAGGATCCAAGTTTATTTTTTTTTAGTTATCCCTGAAGAACAGTGAAAATGACTGTTTTTAAATCGATGCTACTCATCGAATGGAAGACTTTCGAGACGTTGGTGGCAGCAAACAAACCGGTCCTTTTCCCACTGTTTGCGTCATATTGAGCATGCACGTTTTAGCTTAAACATGACGTAAACAATTGAAAAGGCAAAAGTCTCCCATAAAACCTTTACAGATTTGTGACATACCGGTATTAATAAAAGAGATAAGGATAAAAAAGAAACCAGTGCCCGCTATCAATCGTTGAATGAGTCCTCCCCATTTGTTTCTACCTATTTCACAGACAAAGAAAGTACAATGGTGTGGAGTCAATTTGTATGATGCCCAGCTTTCTTTTCATTCTTTTATTTTATTGGTGACTCATTCATGTTCAAGTACATGCGCATCCTGCTGCAATCCTGCATTCAAGACATGGTCTGCCATATGTACATGTACATGTACATTGTACATGATATAGCATGTAAGAGCTCAAGCTAGCCTTTCCCTGGGCCGGCGGACAAGTTCTGTGCATGGCTTCGTCTTGTTTATTGCCTCCAAATGTCTAAATTGCCCTCGGGGGCTAACGGCATAATGCTGCGGAATACATTCTTCACTTGACTCAGCAGGGGGAAGTATGTGTGTGTGGGGGTGGGGGGAGGGGGGAGATTGGTGTCAAATTGAAAACAACGTCGATATTCAGGTCCTGATCCTAATTGCATTATGGCGAATCTCTTGCTTAGACTACATGTATAATGAAATCGTTAGTTCAGATACAAGATATTAGCATAAATATAGAACATATATTTCAGACGTGAATGTAGGATATGCAATTGAGTCTTGATAAATCTGAGGTTTTGTGGCTATCAGAAGATTATTATCATTGTCAATGTTCCCTTCCCATTCATGTGCCAAAGGCTTTATGCCATTATACATGTAGCTCCATCAAGCCAGAATTTTTATTAATTTATTTATTTCATTAGGCTAAATTTGTTTGTTTTATTTGTGGTTACGCGTACTCTCATCAGTTTTTTCATATGTCTTTTTGTATGTATATGTTTTATGGTTTGAATGTGAAATTTTTAATGTGAATGTGCAGAACTAAGAGACAAGTTTCACGTTTTACATAAATTGAATTGAATTGAATTGAATGTGACTATAAAAGACGTCTGTCAGTAGGATGTAACCACAGTTTAGAAACAGAAACCCAACTGATAAAAATTGAAGTGAAGCAACAAAGACATAATTATTCGCTGGTGCTATCATAAGCTGCAAGTTTTTTGGCTAGGTTTTTACTTTCCCTTTTTTGGGGATACTTTTTTATGGTCATCATACAGACCAAAACAATCTTCAGCATTGTGAAAACTTTAATTTACTTTTTAGAATTAAAACATTTAAAATGACATTTTTGCTCATGACATCTGCCATCAACAAGTTAGCAACTAATTAAGTTTGCAACAAACATCACAACCCATGAATAAACTTGCGAAGTTGTGTTCTCGCAAGCCCTCCGATGAAAACAATGACTATACAGTTCTTATAAAATTTACAACCCATGATATCGCACCCCCCCTAAAAAAAAATGACAGACTCATGAAATTTACCAGCCCACAAAATTTGCAAAGATGCCATCACATGACATTTACAACACACTTCCAAGTCCACTAAATTTGCAACAAACATTCCAGCTCATGCAGTCTGCCACCATTACATTTGCAACAAACCAAGTTTGCAACAAACATCACACCCAATACAAATTTCAACAACCAAAAATCACAGACCATCAAATAGAAGACATCAACAAAGTCTTACTCTTTGCCATGACGTCTTCCTCCAGCCTCTCAGCCACTGCTCTGTCGATCAACTCCGTCAGAATCTGTTGTGTCTTGTTGCAGATGTCATCGATGTACTTGGCGTGAGTTGAGATACCATCCGGGTCTAAACCCTTCGGACTCCAAGGGATATCAAACTTAAAGAAGTTCCCCTCGTTGACTTTAGCAGCCAGTCTCTTGGTCAGCTGGGCAAGCTGCTCGTGGGAGTGGGTGTCCGCCTCCTTGTTGCCAGGCAACAGGTCTAAGTAGATGCCGGCTGTATCGTCGTTAGGGTCGATGCGGGTGAAGCGACGGTGCAGCCAGATGACAGCGTCGCTGACGCTGGTTGGGGAAAAGACCCCCTCGTCGATCTCTGTCTCTGAAACTAAGGATGAAAACGGAAAGAAGTACACCTTTAATGCTTAATCATCAGCCACACACAACTACTTGCTGCAAGCAATACAGATCCGTGATTTTCCAACTTAGTTATTAAGTGCTCTGTTGGCAGTCTCCCGGTTTGTCAATGTTCTTGTTCCTGGGGCGCTAGTCAGAAGCCTTAAACCTGTATGTGCCATGTGGTCATGGACTCGCCCAGAGTCACGATTGCTGGCAACTGGAGTAATACTGAAAACCTAGGAAATGGCACTTGGGGATTACTCAGAGAGGTTTATGTGATCATCCTGTGTTAGGCTCAGCTTCACAAATGTGACAGTTCTGTCAAAAACAAGCTCTTTTGGTCAAAGTGCGTTTTTTGAGTCCAGCTAAAAAAGATCTTACCCTTTACAATGATGGTTAAATTTTTGAAAATGGACTTTCCTCATCAAAATTATTTCTACTAGAAGTTTGTGATATTACTAAGGTGACAATGTTGGGTTGTGCATTTCTTTAACTGATGCACCTCTATGAATCCCCCCCCCCCAAAAAAAATCACCTTTTGAGGCAAAATAATGGTTTGAAGCTTTCAATTGTTTATTTCAAATATTAGGATCAAAATATTGAATATTAATTTTAAAAAAATCACCCCACTTTGTTTTCTGGTCATATCTATTTTAAGCTCTGTCCAGAAGCGTCTGGTTTGACAGATCCTGTCAAAATGATGATAATTTCCAGGAATAGCAAGACTCACCAGAAGCCATGTAGCGTTCCTTCTCCTCCTTGCCCCAAGAACTCCTCAAGATCTCACAGATCCTCTCCGCTTCGTCTTCCGAGGCGTTCCCCTGGAACAGGTAGACCGGGGGTACCGAGTTGGAGTCCAGTAGGTAGTGTTTGGTCAGCAGGGATCGGTCATCATCTTCTGCAACCTTCTTGAGGAGACGGTCAAAGGCTGAGGCCAGGACACGGATGGGCGTCTTGCATCGATCGTACTTCATATTCAGGAAAGACTGAAATAAAAAAAGAACTTGACTTCTAGTGCAAGCAGTTTACTATAAAAAAAAAGCTGCCAATGTTGGCGTAACTCCTGCTGCATCTACAGTTTGTCATGTGGAAAGTTGACATCCCTCTAGTAGACAATGCCAAATAGGCAACAAGGACTCAGAGGTTAAAAAAAAAATACTTAAAGAATGGGCTTTGAAATGTATTTTCTTTGCTTAGTATTTCAAAGACGATTTTTTATAGGTGGCTTTCTTACTAAAAATGCTTAGTAACGCACTATATTTTGAATGCCTTCTGTTATTGAGAATTTATTTGAACAGTACACAAGATGGTCAAGAGACTGATTTTAAACTTCTCCCTTTTTGAGTTTTTTAGGAACTTTGGGCAGAGTAGAAATTACAGCTCAGACATTGAGCATTTAGCAGTCAGATTGTCCCATGTTTGTCTGAACAACTTTTGGATTCTACGTCCACACAACAGCTCAAAAACTAATCTGGAGAAGTTTTGGTGTCTAATGTCACCCTCCAAAGAAGTGTTAGCCAATTACCATGAAGTTTGGTCCGGTGGAGGCGGCCTGACAATGCTTGATCTCTCGCAGACACTGGTCCAAGAATCGCTCGTCGTTCAGCCTGTTATCCCACAGTCCCCAGAAGAGGTCGATGGCTTCAAACTCGTAGCCACTGAGGGCGCAGTGGTCTCGTAGCTTGGGGTAGACGCGTTCCATCAGCGCATTCCTCTCCATCTCCGAGTCTGCAATACAAGACAAAATTCTCATTCCAATAATAATTTCATTTTTATTTTAACGTTTTCTCGTATTTCATCCACACTGCTTGTAAACGCCATTCGTACACTGCCTCAAACCATAGCAGTAATTGGCAGAAAATTTTGGAGGATTGAGGCAGTGGTCACCCTCCACATACTAAATTCAAGAAACAACGGATGATTTTGGAGGATTGAGGCTGAATCCTAGCCAGAGGGCCTAGGGGGTTAGGGTTAATAAAAACCTAGACCTCATGCATGCCTGGATTTTCTGACCATAGATTTGAAAGCATTTTAATATCAAAGCACTTGGATATTAGATACAGTATCACCTAATGGGGTTCATGACATTTTCCCAAATAAAATTGTATCCCCATTCTGTTCATGTCCATCCCTTTCCCCTCAAAACATCAACAAAATGTAGAGCAGGGTTCAGCACACAAGCCAGAAGCCTAGACACCGCTAATGATATGCATCTTTCTTGCCCCGTCTCACCGTGATGCACCATCAACCCACTCTCGCTGCTCTCTTTCCATCCCCCCACCTTTTTTTTTTTGTAAATTGCCTGTCATCGCCGCAGCCCGAGCACTCTAAATGTCAAAGGTAGAGCATCTCAGCCCCTGGAGCAGAGCCCTTCCATTCTAATGAGGCGGGGAGCTTAAAGAGAGGAGGGGGGAGATGCGGTCACCACGGTGATGATAATGTCCCTTTTAAGCCTCGGATGTTGCATCATAGCATACATCTGGGGTTCAGTGGATGTATGAGCGATGAAGGGACAGCGTCTGTTGTTTCAACCAATTAAGCGTCAGTCCGATGGGGAGACTGGAGTGGCATTATAGCACAGACGACGACGATGATGATGATAATGGTGACTTATAAACTATTCACATGGAATAAAGGCGAGAATGGGTCCGGAATTATTCATATTTTCTTTTTCATTTTTTCCCCGCAGTGTACTGTAGTCTTGCCGATTTCATTTTTTTTTTATCAGGTTCATTGTACTTTTCACATTTACCTGTACCACACCAATATCAGTATGCATGTACCGGTACATGTAATACACCAGTACATGTAGATGTGGGATTTCATCAAACTAATTTTTTGTACACAGACCTGTACATGTAACTACCACATTAGAGTTTTTGTAATTTACTTAGACACTGTATTTCGCCATTACAATTCATACATGGTACATTTTGTACTTCCCATTTCTTTTTAACTTGATCCACGCATACATGTACCCACATGTACGTGTATACTGTTCGATATAATTGAAATGATGTACATGTAAGGACATCTGTACACATGCTTAGCAGCAGGCCAATAACTGCACTTTGCAAACAAAGCTTTTGTTTACTTTAAAAATGAAGCCAAAATTCAACTTTTTTTGTTGCACATAAACGTAAACAAACATAGCTGAAAGACAACCTGACTTTTAATAGTGATCAAATTATTTGAAAAGTTTACCAAGTGTGACATTGAGAATTTCGTGCCATTTTTGAGGGGTTTCACAGGAGCGTAAGTCCATGTAACACTATCAGTGTTCTGATGTGGTTAACACCTTGAAATTTAGACGGAGATTCAAAGACGTTAAGTGGTTATGGCACCGGCAGTGTGGGACATTTATTGATCGGTCTACATCTGTATTTCTGAGAACACTATTTGTGGTCAGTGACGACATGAATTTTTCATTTTTGGTAAGGAACCGTTTTTATTTGTGGTCAGTGACGACATGAATTTATCATTTTTGGTAAGGAACCAGGGTGTAATATTACAGTGGGGGGCAGGGGCAATGTGAGACAGGGCACCAGGTTGGACAGTTGTCCTCATCGTTTCGAAACTTGTTTCCACGGATACGGTCTTGGTGCGCCATGTTGGTTCTCACCATTCCTTGCGATCTCAACCCTAGTACCGGTATTTTGTAATTTAAATCTCCCACTGTTTGGGAGATTCAAATTCTAGGACTGCGGTCGATGTGTTTAACGCGCGACTTGGTGCTTTCAATTTTGAACAATCAATACTTTAGAATCAATCCTTCAAAGATGAGATTTTGACGAGACATAACTAGAATTTGTAATGTGCGTAAACAACACAAGATTGCACGTTATGTAAACTATATTTTGGGAAAATTGTGGGTTTGGTTTTGTACTACATATATATACATGTAAACATTATCATGTGATGAAAAAAACACAAAGTAGGATTTAGGAATTAAACGTGACAATTCTAGGGATATGAAACAATTAACCTATCGCGATAGAATCGCGTTAGAATCGCGTCAACGCAGCTTGTGAAATATTGTCCAATTACATACAAATGGACGCGGAATGCGCAAAATCTGAGACAAACAAAACTTAATGTATAAAAACTCCATAGGGTTGTCTAAGGGGTGTGGCTAACTAGCAAACGGCGATACATGTAGGTCAATACTGTTTGAAACCACCTCTTTGAATTTGAAATATGAAATGTGTGTACACATGAAGTTTAGACATGTTAGAAACAAAAAATGTATGAAGTGTGTTGATGACTCGATCATCTAATCATCTTCAGGTGATGCAACCATAAACCTTCAATCTTCAAAGTTTCAAATCTCACTGATTAATAAGGTGCCTTTCTGGGGATGTTTTTCAAACCTCATCTTTCAAACCTCGTCTTTGTCTTCATATACATGTGTATGCCTTCAGAAGATTTTATGTTCCTTACTTGGAAGTAAATTTGGCACAATATTGGAGCATGTTTGAATTTTAGAACATTAACGTACTGCATGTTGCCAAAGTCGACACTTTTGCCAATTGGTTGAGACAATAAAGACTACTAGATGGTGCTGGAGGCAGAGATGAAGCCCAAGTTGGGACAGAGTCAAGGTTTCGGGAATGGCTTCTGACAAGATGTGAAGAGATGAGTAGTGATCTTACCTACAGAAGCAGCACTGATGTAGACTCTGACCATCTTAGCTTGCGGCTTGCACCTCACCAAAGCCACCTTGCCCAGCAGCATGTTCCTAACATCTTCGCTGTAGCAAGCCAGATCGGGGAGCGACGAGCCGGTGCTGGACTTCTGAGATGGCTTGGTCATCGCTGGTGACATCTGAGGAGGTGTGGTCTTGCGTGCAGGCCCCGGGGCGGGGGTTTGAGGCGAGGGTGGGCTCTCGGCAGGCTGGGGTGGGGCTAGGGGTGGGTTGGTGTGTTTCTTCTCTTGTTGGGCTTGGGTTGACGTCTTTGCGGAGGCATTGCTGCTGGAGCGGTGTTCTCTCTCCTTCTCTTTGTCCTTCTCTTCGTTGGAGGAGTGGCTACTGCGGCGGTTTCCCATACTGTATTAAGAAAAGTAAACAAACTTAGGCATTGATCTCAAAATAAGAAAATTGGCTTGCCTGTCATGTACACAACGAGTTAGCAATGCAACGTGACATCAACAATGTACGTACCAGGTATATAACATACATTACTTGGCCAATGTAACATGGGCGTCGCCAGGATTTTTTCCAAGGGGGGGGAAGCATTTGAAGCAAATTTTCCCCCCAAATTCCTTAATTTGTTCATTATATTCTCAATTTACCATTGTTCCGAGCATGAGCTGGGAAGCATTTGCCCTACCCCCCCCCCCCCCCCGATCAAATTAACAGCAATATGGCTTCGCACCTCTTTTTCCTTTTTTTTTTTCCCCTCTTTTTTTTTTCGTTTTCCAGGGGGCAAGCGCCCCCCTTGCCCCCCCCCTCGCCCCCCCTCGCAACGCCCATGCAACGTAACTGTGTACATGTACACAAGTTGGACATGCAATGTGCACTCAGTACCTTTCTTAAATAAGGTTGCCAATTTAGTAATTGGCCAGTCATCTTTTGTGGTTAACTCATACTAAGACAATGTGGGTCTGATACACACTTTTCATTCATAATACACAGAAACCTTGTCACACAATTTTGCAGTTAGGGTTTTCGTTGAAGTTTGAATTTCAAGACATGCCACTTTAATACAGCATGTAAAAGTATTTCTAACATTATGATGAGCAGAATTGAGTTTGGGTCTAAAGTGAAATTAGTCTCCTGTGATTGCCAAGCAAGTGATGCTTATCTTTGCAACGTCTTGGCGATTCATTCCAGACCCACTGTGCAATGATACTTACAGAGCACATTATGTCTTCCAGAAGGCACACCATCTGTTAGCCATTTGTAATATGGAATAAGATGGCAAATGTTCTGAAAAGGTCAGGGGGTGTCGCTGACGGCCGTGCATCCAATGACACAACAACTGGGACAGGGTCAATGTACACGTATTCACTCCAGGAGGAGGTGTCTTATGTTATCATTGGAAACTCCACTGTCCATAATCGCGAGGCTTCTATAAGATGCAGTTATTGGGACATGCAAACTCTTTGTTACAATTCCACAAATGGATTCTGACTGCAGTTAAAGGCCACCATAATGTGCACCACTTTTACCAAACATTTGGCTACAACACATTTCTTTTGCTCTCATACTCAAATGTTATGTTCAATTACATACAAGTAGAGCACTGATGGCTGAGAGTTTCTTTAGCTAATAGCCACTATAATGAACAATCTTTTGTGGACCCTCTGTTCATATTGGCAGGGCTACAAAAAAAATCCCCTTTAAAAGGACAACAAAAAATTGTTGGCCTCCGGTCAGCGCGCCTGTCGATTTTGATCGTGTGTGTCGAAGATTTGTTTTTCAAATTTTCCATGGTAGCTACAACACCGCCTCAAATTTTTCGTGGGCAGCTCAACCTGGGGAAGGGCAATAACGCAAATGGAGGGCACCAAGGTGTATGAGGACGCAAATCAGCAAAATAGTAAATAAGAGGCAATAGTCACCCCTCCATTAAACAAATAACCGATAAGTTTGGAGGATTGAGGCTGAATCCAATGTTTACATGATGCGATTGGGGGACTTTGCAGGATGGAGGAGGGTTCTTACTAGCCAATGTAAGGGTTAGGGTTACGGAGGTTTCTTTCAAAATTTTCAAAAATATTAAGGTATGTCTACAGGTCATACATGTAGAAACCTTTTTGAGAACTGGGCTGAAAAAACATCCCTGCCCACTTCACAGCCCCCGTCACTGATCAAATTGAAAGAACCCATTTTTTTTTTTTAATTCCCAGAATGGCAATGAAATTCTTCCAGGTCCTTCAGCCATTAACGGAAAACATCACCTTGAGCAAAAATACAATCAACCACGAGATGCGATATCAATAAATTTTAATCATAAAACCCACCCGACAAACAGGTCTGAGCCATCACTATATTAACTGCTTCCAAATTAAGTCTTTCTCTATACCTGCAACCCCCCCCCCCCCTTCCTCCTTCAACCCCCCCCCCCCCTACTTTCACCAATCAGAGGCAAGTAACGTGAAGGCTCCGTAGCGCAGCCTTCACTCCAAGGGGATCAAATAACTAGACCAGATATTGATCTGTCTTGGCAGTTTTTCTTCGTCTTGTGTCGGGTGGAAGCAGGGATAAACTATTTAATTTTGGCAGTATCAATTTTTCTATTTTTCTAACCTTCAAGCCAGAAGGAGAGAGAGCGAGAGAGAGATAAATGCGCTTGGCGTGATATGAAAAAGGGTGTGTCATACACATATTTTTGGCCTAATGTAATTATCGTACATCAGAAATCATACATGGATATAAAAAAATTGCCTTATTAAACTTCAAACAAAAAATGTATGGAAGCACAAGATTTTAAAGGAACATTTCCTAGATCTATAGTCATGTTGGGCCAAACGTTAAGAAAAACTGCTGTAATGATACACAGAGAATTGCATGAAATTACTGTAATGTTTACAAGCACTGTGAAGAACATGTAAGTGTCTTCAGCATCCATTACTGCTTTTAATAACGAGGCCTTTTGGGTATTTTTGCTGGAGGAAAAACGACCGTTTCACAGTGTAAACTGCCTTGCTACATGTACAAATGGTTCTAATCACTCATGTACCGATACCTGCTGGCATTACAGTGCATTATCTGCAACATCTCTCCATAATCCAATGGCCCCAAGCCTCTGGGTTATTTCTTATCTTCGCCGACAGGATGAGATGAGAAGGATCGTTCAACTATGAAAATCCTCCTCCACTGATAAAATCCATTGACGCAATAACTAAAGCCTGGTTCATACTTCACGTGAATGTGGAAGGGAGTTTGACGTCAGGAGACGCGTGCTACGAAATTTGCCGAAGTTGATATGTGTTTAATATTTGCGAATTTGCAGCGCAAAATACTTGCCGTGACATCAAAGTTTCTCATTTGCAAATAATTTGTGATGTGATCAAGCTAAATGAGTCGTTTGTCGACCCTTGTCACTTTTTTTTAATTTTTTTTTTACAGATTTGAAAAGAGCACAATCTCAGCATTACTGCTGTGTAAACCGCATGCTGGTACCATCTTTAGTTAAAAAATTATGGAAGTCGGAACACTCAATTCAGGGGTTTTATTATCGATTCGTCGCAGCCCAAAGGCTGAAATGTGAATGATTTACAATAAAGTACAAATATAACACAACATTCGAATTACTTCAGACAAAAACGAATCGTCATAAATTAATAGCTATCAAATAAGAATAAATGAATAAGATGTCAAACAGAATAGCAATATAACGACTTGTACATGCTGAAGGCTTTGTGATCATCCTAGCCCCGCCCTAGTTTGTCTTTTTCAGTTAAAAAAAAAATAATTAGGCCTATACGTGTATCATTTTTTTGTAGCCAAGAAAGCACTACCGGTACATCAGATGGTGACATTATCGGAACATACGGTACAAACCGGTACATGTACAGCAAAGTGCAAAATTAACTAGCAAACAGATTTTGAGTTTTTACTTGGTTAAAGTGTTGAGTTCCATCCACCCTAAGGCTACTTGTACAATCTGATTAAGCACATCTGTTTGGGGAGAAATTTGGACCAAAAGTGTCGGTCTTGCTTAAATTACACTTAAATTTGGTCCTTTTTTTAAACCCGAGATGGACAAAAGGCAGGCAGGCAGGCAGGCAAAACCAAGCATGTTAACATTCACAGTATGACTTGTAAAATGCAGAAATTAGAATTAAAAAGGGGGGGGGGGGCGAGACTGTACTACCTTTTCCAAAATTAGTTCATGTAAATTTCCTACTGCTTGATTCTCAGATTATCACAATCTCATAAGAATAGTACCAGTTGTCTGTGTTGGTTTGCTCATAATGAATAAAATTCTACACGTACATCACAACAGCTGTCAATTACAAGCACATATTGTACAGTATGTACATGTCCCCTACTACTACTTAGGTACATGTACATGTACCCTGTACAAAAATGTACATGTACGGTACTTGTACCGGCATACAGAAAATGTATTTGATGCTAATGACGCACAAATGAAGGTGATGCACATTTTACTGTACATTTGTACAATACTAAAATGAGTAAATTGTACAAGTGTATGTGTTGTGTGAGAAGGAACCCAGAAACTGTCTGTACACCAAAACATTTTACCTTTTTTATGATTCCTGGCTATCAGAACTGCTTGCACTAATTGCACATCGGATGTAGAGAAAACCCGCTGGAAATTACAATGCAAAAACAGCGAGAGGAAAAAATGCCAACAGACAGGCAAACCACCATCATCAGACGATCCCTAGCTTGGCTGTCAATATCACACGCAGACGCACACACCGTACGGTACGGTACGTGTAGCCTGCACAGCTCTCCGCTTGGAGTCGCTGACGTCACACACCCCTACTTACTGGCAACAACGGTAAATGAGTGACCCGAGCCAATCCCAGTGTTTTCTGGCATTTGCTCATCATTATTTCACATGGGTGCCTCTCTCTCTCCACTGGCGTTGCGACCGCACAACTCATTAACTCTTGCATATTACATTAGGGGAGGGGGACGGATGATATTCTACTAATTGTTCATTGGTTGATGTTCGTGTATGTTTGTAAATGGGTAAATTTATTGTAATTGTGTAATACACTTACGTGTCTCTCATTCAAATTAATATTGAATTGGTTTTTTTATCACTAAATATTTCCACGTTATAAAACATGCCAGTCACACTGTTGCCTACTGTGCAATATTTCTAGTAAATCTTATAAACTATGGATTCTGCACATGATGCTGTGCATTGTATAGACAATATGCAGAGGAACATGTAAAATCCGACAATACAGACTGACATAACCTATTTTAAAACCCTCAAATACAAAAATAAGCAGTTTGTCATATAATAATACAGGGCAAATACATATAAAATTTAGCTAAATCTAAAAATTAATGTGGCCTGACGTTGCGAACTTAGCAAGTTCTTCTTCAGAGGCTAA